TTTGGTTGTCCTGGCATCCATTCTCAGTCTCTCCATGAACGATGGCAACGTGTCTGCTGTCAAGATCTTGCGTGTTTTTCGTGTTTTGCGGCCATTGCGTGCCATCAAACGCGCTCCGGGCTTGCGCCATGTTGTGCAATGCATGGTCAGTGTGTGTTGACTGCGCTTTTTCTTTTTTAAGAAGCTTGCATGCTTTCTTGCTTTATTCACAGGCGCGCATCTCATGCATTTTTGGACTCACCCTTCTTTGGCACAACTGGAATGCATCTAGCTGGTCTCGATCAAGACCATCGGCAACGTCTTTTTGGTCTCTGTGCTCTTTACGTTTATATTTGCTGTCATTGGCGTCCAGCGATTTCGCGGCTGCTATGGCGCTTGCAATGACGCGTCGATCTCAACTCGCGCAGATTGCGTCGGCAATTTTACCGTTTTGGAGTATGGGTTGCCCACTGAGATGGAACGCAGCTGGGAGACGCCGGATATGAATTTCAATAATGTCGGCAACGCCATGCTGACTCTTTTCGCTGTCTCCACGCTTGAAGGTTCGAGTGCTGCAGTTGGGAGCACAATTTCGTGCTCGTTTGCAGTCTGTGGTCCATTGTTCCGTGAATGCCCTGTTCATGCATCGGGTTCAACGTTTCTCACGTGCGCACATGCTCCTTGTGCACCCATGCATCTTCGCGGAACCTTCCTTGGCAGGTTGGATCGATGTCATGACCAATGCGATGGACTGCGTGGCAGATGGCGTGGCGCCCGAGCGCAATCACAACCCAGCGGCCAGCCTTTTTTTCGTCATCTACATTGTGATTGTAGCTTTTTTCCTGGTGTGTCATTGCATGTCAAATGCGACAACAGCGCTTATTTTATTTTATTATTTATTGTGTTTTAGCTTTATTGATTCGTTCCTCAGCCAATCCGCATTTGTTGTTATTGCTGCGCCCTGCTCAATAGCTGAACATCTTTGTCGGCTACATTATCATCACGTTCCAATCGGAGGGCGAGCGAGCCTACAGTTTTAGCGGCCTGGACGGAAATCAGCGCAAGTGCTTGCACTTTGCCCTCACCTCAACTCCGGAGTTTGCGTTTGAACCCGAGTATCGCTGCCAGGTATGCTCAAATATCGCTAAATATGCGCTGTTGTGCCAGCTCAGATGTGCCTTTTTTGTTCTTCATCCATGCTTGTGGGTGCTTGTAGAGCCTTTTCACAAGAATTACTCTTCACACATACTTTGAGTATTTTATCATGTTGACCATTGCGGCCAATTCTTTCGGTACTGTATTTGTGACACCCTGACCTCGCAGTGAAGAATGGCTTCTCGCGCTCGTTTGGCTGCATGCTCGCTCATGACGTGTGGTATCATTGGATTTGATAGTGATGTTGATGCAACATAAAGACATGGATGATGACTATAAGGTACTGGCTTGTTTTCGTGTTACACTTGTCGGCGATCAGTCAGTCATCCTGCTGTACTCTGCCGGCGAAACTCAACTGTCGACCACCATTCTTCTGGACTTGCCTTGCCACAGAGCGCCCTCGCACTCTGCAACGTCATATTCACGGGTATATTCACCTTTGAAGCCTTGATCAAGCTATTTGCCTACAATCCCACCGCCTATTTTCAGGTCAGCATATGCCCATCCTCCTTTGGAGAAGTAGGTGACGAAACAGGTGATATAGGATTCGCTGACCACGGCGTTCACATTGATAGGATGCGTGGAACTGGTTCGACTTTATTATCGTCGTGGGCAGTCTGGTGGATGTTGCATTTTATTTTGCTGGCACCGAGGCTGTTAGCATCGGGTTCTTACGTCTCTTTCGAGCCGCCCGCTTGATCAAGCTCGTTAGCAAGGGCAACGACATGAAGCGATTACTGTGGACCTTTGCCAAATCGCTGCAGGCCTTGCCTTCGGTTGCGCTGTTAATTGCCATGGTCTTTTTCGTCTACGCCGTCATTGGCATGCAAGGTAGCCTGTCGTTTTCTAGCCCCGGGTCCTCGAGCCTTCTCGAGTCTCCTCGAGGCTCCTTGTGTCTTGAGCGCTACTCAATCGCGTGTACTTTGCACTTCCTGATGTAACTGATTGCTGATGGTGGCGCAGTATTTGGCAACATGGCATTGCGACCAGATGCCGATGTGAACGCTCAAGTTAATTTTAGAGATTTCTCTAGCGTATGTCAACCCGGCACCCAGCTGTCATGTGCCTTCAGCGTAGGGCGTGGTTGGGCAGGCACCATCGTCTTTGACACCATCATCTTTGATGGTGCCTGATTAGCTTGCACCACCTTTCTTCTGTCAAACACATTCTCATTGCGGGTGTCTACAAATAGGCATTGCTGGTGCTGTTTCGCACCTCCACAGGCGAGAACTGGCAGGCCATCATGTATTACTGCTATCTTGGTCCGGAGGATTGTCGAGAGTGAGAATTTGCCGACTACTTCTCGCAACCATTTCACGTTGCATTCCACTTGCGTAGCCATTTGTGTCGGTTTCTCTCGTCGCTGTGTTCTTACAAGCATACATATCATACATATGCAAACTAGGATTGGCAAATCGGAATTCTGTGGCTCGGCTTTTGCTGTCCCATACTTTGTCTCCTTTGTCATCGTGTGTTCCTTTTTAGTGCTGCAGTTGTTCGTGGCCATTATCATTGACAACTTTGAGTATTTGACACGGGATCCTAATATGCTGGGCGAGCAGGATTTGCCCATGTTCGCCACGGTCAGTTGGTCTGGCATCAAGCTTATAAGCAGGATGTAAAACTTGATGGCATCGTTTGTTCTTTTCTGTCTCCTACTGCCAATCGGGTTCTTATTTTTTTCTTCTTTTCTCTTTTGCAGATCTGGGCCAAGTATGACGTTGAAAACAAGCGGCGTATCCATCATCGCGATTTTGCGGCGCTGCTTCAGGATTTACCGCTGCCCGTGGGATTTGAGACCAGCATTTTACAACACGTGCTCTTGACAAAGATGATGCTCATGAATGTGCCCATGGATGATGGGGGCTACATCGACTATAATGCCGCACTCGTCGGTCTGGTTCGCGTTCAGGTTTGTGGGGGCGAGGCTCTTGGCGCCACGTTTTAGCTCAGTTTGGATTAGACCAAGGTCTCATATCTTTCCTGTTTTTCTCCAATGGCAGTTGCACATTTATGTCTCCGGTGATGGCTTGACGCCGGCACAGCGAACGGAGCGTTTGCGACGCATCTGTCACCTGCTCTTCCAAGACGTTCCGCAGCACCGCATTGATCGGGTACGACATTGTGATGCACGCGATGAGACGAGCACAAGCTCGATACCCCCTCCCCCGCTTCTCTCTTTCTTCTTCATGAAGATTGACTACCTGGAGCATTGCTGACGGTTGTGGCACGCAGGCGTTGCCACCTGTGGACGGACGTCAAGAATTTTCAAGCAAAATCTATAGTGTTTATCTATTGCAAGCTCTTTATCGCAAAGCGCGTGATATCAAGAGACGGCGTCAAGAGGACAAGACAATCGTCAAGTCCCACTGGTGGCCGGTGGCGAGGCAGCGGTTCGCAAGCCCGTTGAGATTACGCGCAATCTCTCGACCGAGGTAGGCGTCCATCCTTTGTGTATTTCCATCCGTCGTACCCTGGCGGTACAGACGCAGACTCGGCCTGCACGCCGCACCATATCCAAGCATGCGGTCCACCCTGTCGATTCCTGTCCCCTTCTCATAGCTCCGTTGATGTGGGGCCGTGTGCGCATTAGAATCTGGCAATGGGGTCTAGCACAACCACGACCAATACGGTAATATACGATTAAGCACTGGAGCATGTTGTCGGCTTCTCTGGAGTGCAGTGGTACCTGCGCTTGTGGCGTGCATATGTGTGTGTGTGTGTGTGCTTGAGCCTAGCTTAGAGCTGCTCGCGGCTCTAACTTTCCCCCATTGGCCTCCGTCCAAATGCCGCACGAGTGCGCTGCATGGATGGACAAATAGAACAGTGATTGATCTTGCTCAAGCGCGAAGGTGGCAAAGACTTTTTATCTGATCATGAATTTTACGTGCAATCGTTTCGCTCACTATGCCACATCAAAGAGCGAAAATGGGGCCTCCTCTTCCAAAGTCTGAGAGCTCTCAAAGATGTCTAAGCGAGCCCACTGCCGGGCCGGAATCGTCTCATCTTTGCGCCGACGACTACGAGCTGCGTGCAACAGAGCGGGCTGGGCCGCACGAAACCATTTGCGCTGCTGGCGACGGCGCGGCGTTTCCACACCAGCTTGGCCTGGCGCCCCAGAGGGAAAGATCGTTGCACTATCGGAGGATGCGGCTAGTGACTCCCCACCGTCAGGACCTACGGTTGAGATGGAAGCTGAGGTAGAGCTGCCCAAATGTGTCGGGTCTGAGGGGGCCTCATACTCGCAGCTAGCATCGTCCCTGGACTCGTCAACTGGGGTTGAGGCACCATCTTCGCGAAAAGACTGCACGGCAGCATCGATATATGCCTTGAGTTGATGAACGTTGTTGGCGTTGGCCAAGTGACGCCCGAGCTGACTCTGTCCACTAAGCCGAAATGGAAGCCAGTAGTCAGGGTTGCGCAGCAGCGTGATGCGGTTGCCCACGCTATCATCGTCGTAAGCGGGAGCGTCCAAGGTAGCCAGGAAGCGTGCTTTGACGCAGTCGATCAGGTTGGGCGCGACGTGAGCCTCGTCCGGGCCCGTTGTGTAGTTTCGTAGAATACGCTCGACTTGCTGGGAGTTGAGCTTGTCGGTCATGCTGCAAATTGCGTCTAGTTCTTGGAGGTTGTCCTTGCGCGTTTGCAGCAGCTGTGTGGCCTGAATGAGATGGTCAAAGAAGGGATCCAGCGACAAATGGCGCCGTGCACACCAGTCGGCCAAGGACGCGACATTGTAGCGAATTAACATGCCACGCTTGCATGCAAACATGCTGGTGTCCTCAATGAAGATGTTGAAGGCCCGCGCTCCCAAATAAAAGAAGACCGCGTTAAAGAGTTGCACCACCATGGCACGGGCCAGATGTGCCCCCTGGCAAATGCGGTGAATGGCCTCGAGCGTGTCAAGAATCACTTTCATGCTCAAGGTCCGGCCCTTGTGCTTTTGCAAAAAGTCGTGCAGTTCCGGGTCCTCCTCGAAAGGTGTTTGTGCAACATCCACAAGAATGGCCGAAACGGCAGGCTGGAGACGGCGGCGGATGTCACCCACGATCATATGGTGCGCCTCGCTCGCAATCTCCGAGAGCTCTTGCAGCGCCAGTGGGGTGCCGAGCAAGCTCATGTCAGAGCGCAAAGCCACGAAGAGCTCGGCCGAATTTGCAAGCCAGACAACCAGTTCGGCCGGATCTTCGGCATTGAGAACATGCATCTTGATGAGAGTCGCGACCTTCTGCATGATGTTCGTGACTTGCTCTGGATGTCCTTCGCGGGCGCAGTGTTGGCACATCATGAAGATGGCATAAGCTGGAAGCAGTTTGAAGTCGATGGTATGGGCATTGACGTTAGCGACTAGGATTGAGAGCAATTCGTCCTCTTTGCCAGTGGAGAACTCGTAGCGCGCGGCCGCGCGAGCATCATCAAGCGTCATGGTCGAAGGGGGAACAGGTTTTTCCGACGCATCGTGAGACAGAGCGGGTTGCTCTTGAGGTTCGACGCCAGATGTGGTGTCCATGGGCGGGGCCTCAGTCTGCGCTGGCTGGTCCTCAGGGATGGTAGAGCTGGCTGCCGTCGATGGGCTTGACTGCTGGTCCTGCTGCTCTCTTCGCTTATGTTCATGCAGCTGCAACTTTTGCATTTGCTCAACCTCACTGCCACTCTCGCCCTCGTGAGCATCTGCAGTGACGGGGCTCGAAGCAGGCTGGGTCGAGGCGCTCAGCAGAAGCTCCGCAGTCTCGTTGGTGGCAACTAGCTGATCGACTTGATCCTCGGTGCCCGCCGCTTCGGCGTCGAGTGGGACAATCGGGCCCCCATGATGGGCGCGGGGATGCGCTACGGCATTGCTCGGTGCCATGGTGTCGGAAAAGCCGAGGTGGGGCGAGGTCGAGTACGATGAATGTGGGGAAATGGATGCACCAGACCAAGAATCGGACCAAGCCAAGGGCCCCTCTAGGGGCGCCTGACTGGGTTCGTCTGGGTTGTCATACTTGAAGACATGGACTGGGCTCAAGTGAATAATGTCGCCTGATTTCAAACCGACGGCCTTGGTGACGGGGGTGCTATTGACCAGGATGCGCTCGGCATCCAAAGGGTTGAGGGACACGATGCGGCGCCCGTCGTGCTTGACCGAGTGAAACTCACAGTGCTCTTCAGCAATATGCAGCCCATCCAGTTCGATGAGTTGCAGCGGCTCGCCATCTTCCTCAAAGGCAATGCCGGGCTGAACCACGATATTGATGCCATCGCGGAGGAAGATGAGAAGGCAATCACGACTAGAGTGGCCAGGGTTGAGGTTAAGGAGCGTTGGAACCTGGCCTGAGCGCATGATGCCGACGGGCGCCGAAGCGTCATCCATGACAATGCCGTGCTCGCGGAGCACCTGGGCACGTTCCTCTTGGAGTGAGACTGTTTGGAGCAGCTTATCTTCCCATGATTGTGTCAGCGAGTCCATGAGTCGTTCGCTCTCTGCTAGCGCCGCTTCAACATCTTCAATGGCCACCTCGTCTTCTCCAATGCGAATGGTATCGCTCTGCACACCGGCTTGGGCGGAGGCTAGCTCGAGGCGGAGTCGTTCAATCTCCTCGTTGAGCTGGCGCACCATGGTGGCGGTGGCATCCTCGTTTACCACAGCGCGGTTTACGATGTTTTTGGCTTGATTGGCATAGCGCAGCGTCGAGAGTGTCTCCTCATAGTTGATGGCCGCTGGGCTAATGGCTGCCAGCATGAGGGTTTTGGAGTTGCCACCAAGCGATTCACGGAGGAGCCAGGTTAGCACTGATTCTCGATAGGGCACGTGTTGGCCCTTTTTACCCCGTCCCTTATCAGCCAGCGTAGAGATGACCTTGCCGAGCGTGCTCAGGCTCTGGTTGATTACGTTGCCTTCTTTCATGCGATCGCTCTTGCCAGCGTTGATTTGTCCCGATCGCTCCGAGCCAGCCAGATCGACAAGGCTAATCTTGGACACGCGCTCCTGTTCGACTCGCTTACTGCCACGTTCAATGACGGCAGTTTGGGTAAAGATGAGCTGAAAGATAGCATGGCTGCGCGAGCTGACATCGTTCATGGCCGTTGCCTTGACGGTTCGCATCTAAAAGGAATGCGAGAGAAGGCGGAGGCAAATGGCAGTCGTGTGAAGTGGCACTTGGATGGGCGGTCCAGAGGCATGTCGACGAGGCAGCGCGCTTTCTTCTGGTGCGATTTGCCAAATTGTCGTAGTCGACTTACCCGACTGCCATCATCCATGAGCTGCTGAACCATGGCAAAATTGCTCACGGCGTGGGAGGTGAGGCCCTCAACGTAGGGCCCCGTGGATGCGTTTTCGCGCACGCGAAGGGTATGCTGGGTTGAAGTGGGAGCAAGCAAGTCTTTGACCTTTTCGAGGTAGATTTCCATGTAGCTGACCTCAACCTGCAAGACCGTGCGATGGCGAGCCGTTGAAAAAAAAA